GCCTCCGGACTGTGGAGCGAGGTCACCGGTACTACCTGTCGTAGTGCGTCCTCGCTTGCCTGTTGCTTTGGGGGTCCTCTCCCCCCCCCCCCCCCGCCTCTGTCCCTTGCTGTCACATGGCCTTCCGCTCGGCTCATTCTACCCGCTGACCTTTCTCCATGCTCCCCTGCCCTCGGTTCCCCGGTGCATGGCCTCCCTGTGAGTAGTGCGCTTGTGCCAGGAGGTCGAGGAGGGGACCGTGGCCTGGCCCGCTGTGCCGGTCGGCCTCACGGCCATTACCCAGTGCCGGTACCCGGTCCCGGGGTCGCTCCAGCCTCGGCACGTGTCGCGGATGTGCAGCGCCTCCGGCGAGTGGCTCGACACGGTGACCATCCTCCCGCCCCCGGGCAGCAACTCGCCCGGCGACGGCAACCAGGCCGCCGACTCGGACACCGCCTGCCCGGCGGTCACTTGCTTGGCCGAGGGTGGCGACGCCGGTTTGCACTGGGGCGATCCGACGGGTCGGCCCCTGGCTCCGGCCCCGGGGCCCCCGGCCGGATCGACCGGCCTGTTGGACGCCCCCTTCCAGCAGACCAGCCTGAAGGACACCTGGCCGCATGCCCTCGCCGGGCAGTACTACTCCCCGTTGGTGTGTGGCCCGAGCTCCAGCGACCTGGGAGCCGGTCACCCGCAGGGAATTCGCACGGCCCCCGGCAGCACCGGCCCCTTTGGTGTCCCCGGAGCCGTGGCCTACCGATTCTGCGACTCCAGCGGCTGGTGGCATGAGCCCGGGGCCGTGTGCCAGATGGATGCCTGCCCGGCCACTGAGCGCTTCGGGGCCTTCTGGCCCGCGGCCTACATCGGCACTCGAGCCCGGGCCCCCTGCGGCAGCCTCCTCCCCCCGGATGCCTGGTGGTCGCCGGGGCCCACGCCCACCTCGTCGCGGGAGCTCCAGTGTATGCTCGACGCGTCCGGCCGCCCGGCCTGGATGGAATCCCCCTCGGACGGCCAGTGTGGCGGTACGTGGGGTTGTGTCTCCTTCCTCCTCTCGGCGCACGGCCTCCCCTCTGGCCCCTCCTTCCCCGCTCGACACCCTTCGCCCCAGCCTCTAACAGTCCCCTGCCGTCCTCCTCCTGCCCCCCCCCC